TCCTACCTAAAATCCTCCCTAGGTCAGGCCCGCTTGCTGGAAAAGCCATGTCTTGAGGGCGCGGCGGAAAGTAAGGAGATCCGGAATCATCCGGATCTCGGGGGGTAGTTCGTTCCAGAGGGTGGGGGCACCCACAGAGAAGGCCCTCATTCCTGAGTTTTCCAAATACATTCTTCCCAATTCTTGTAAGGTGAAGCCCATCCCTTGCCCAGAAGCCCTTCGTGTAGGTAATGAAGAACGACTGCCCAGTGCTGAGAAAAGGCTTGAAAGTGGGTCTGCCCAGTGCAGGACATGGAACAATCCACTGCATGTTTTAGGTTTTATATATCAGGCCTGTGGTTAAAACAAGCTCGTTCAGGACTGTGTGGCCACGGATTAGTGCAGGACATATCCGCAACTTGGCCCTGGGCTCAGAGGAGCCTATGTCGGTGCGTACGTGCCTTACACCTGCATGTTCAGTGCCCTGCTGGGGGCTGCTGCAGGTGCAACCAGCCTGTGTCTTCCACAGCTGAAAGAGAAATTGTGCGGGACATCAAGGAGAAGTTGTGCTATGTCGCCCTGGATTTTGAGAATGAGATGGCAACGGCAGCTTCCTCATCATCCCTGGAGAAAAGTTATGAATTGCCTGATGGACAGGTCATCACCATTGGCAATGAGCGGTTCCGTTGCCCTGAAACCCTCTTCCAGCCCTCATTCATTGGTGAGTCTCTACTGTGGAGGAGGGTCTTCTGGGGGCACCTTAGCATCATTGACAAAGTGCCTCTTTCTGGATAAAGGAAGGATAGGAGCCGTGATGGTGCAGTGGTTAGAGTGCAGCATTGCAGGCTACTTCTGCTGACTGCCAGCTGCCAGCAGTTCGGCATTTCGTTTCTCACCGGCTCAAGGTTGACTCAGCCTTCCATCCTTCTGAGGTCGGTAAAATGAGGACCTGGATTGTTGGGGGCAACAGGCTGACTCTTATGTACCGCTTAGAGAGGACTGTAAAGCACTGTGAAGCGGTATATGTCTAAGTGCTATTGCTATTGCTAAAGAATGAATGGAAGGCAATAAACACCTTTGCAGTGAAACTGTAGGAAACACTAAAGTCACATTTTCAGTGAAGCTAGCAATTATATGCCAGTTAGCAATGACAAATCCTGAAGGCTTTTGTTTTTCTGTTGTACATGGTGGTCAGACAAGCCAACATGGTACCCACAACGGTGCAATCAAAGCCCAGCTTCTTTTTATATGTGTTGCATATGCCCTTGGCCATTACTACCCGAACACTAGTGCTGGAAACAAGAGGGGCACAGATCTTTTCCAAAGATATTCTGCAGAAAGAAATTGTGCCCACTAGTAGTATTTGGGTAATGACAGTGATAAACCAAGGCAAAAATCCTCCTTGAAGCTAGAGAGGGAATTCTAGATCAATTCTGAAACCTCACTGGAACTGGGACGGTGCCCCTGTGATCTTGTACTCTCTCCACAGGCATGGAATCAGCTGGTATTCATGAGACGACATACAATTCTATCATGAAATGTGACATTGACATCCGCAAGGACCTCTATGCCAACAATGTTCTTTCAGGAGGCACCACCATGTATCCTGGCATTGCAGACAGAATGCAGAAGGAAATAACTGCCTTGGCTCCCAGCACAATGAAGATAAAGGCAAGCTACTCTGGGGTGTACTTTGGGGTTCAGCCCAGGGTCCCCAACCCCTGGGTCATGGCCTGGTGCTGGGCTGTGGCCTGTCCTGAACTGGGCCGTGCAAGTGGCGGGCATGCATAGATAGCTTCATTTGTGTAAGCAACACTCCCATGAAGCTCCATTTGTACGAGCGGCAGGTGTGTCCACCACTTGCACAGAGTTTCATGCATGCACATGAGTGCCTGTCGCTTCTACAAATGGAGCTGCACACGGGAGGGCACACACACCTGCCGCTCACACAGAACCACTTCCTCTCCCCCCCCCACTGGTCTGCAAAACTGGAAAGTTTGGGGACCACTGCTTTAGCACATCAGCAATCTGTACAGGTTGTGCAACCTTAGAAAACAAAAGTCAGTTCTTTGTACTTGGGTAACCACCAGTAACTGTGGCAGGAGATAATCCATAAAAATATGGGATAGTTTCATTGGGAGCCGCCCAGAGTTAGTCGAAAGATGGGCAGCGGTATAAATGTTTGGAATTAAATAAATAAGTAAACAAAAATGTCTTGTTTCTGTGAACAGATGATTGATTCAACTGTGTTGAATTTAGGACCTGTTGATGTAGATTTTAGAATTCTGCATATTTAGGAAAAATCAAATGCAGCATCCTAAAATATAAACATTGGAAAAATGTTGCATAATATTCATATACCAAGCATTCTGTTCAGGGGGCTGGACTTTATGGTTGTTAAAGTTAGAATTGTTTGTTTTTGCTCAATCCTGCCTCTTTCTGATTACACTGTCAACTGACTAGCAAATGGATCTCCATGTTTTCTAGTCTCAGGGATGCTCTCTCTCCCGCTAATATCTAAGGTTAAGGTGGAAGAGCAGAATCTAGTCCTTCCTTCCTTCCTTCCTTCCTTCCTTCCTTCCTTCCTTCCTTCCTTCCTTCCTTCCTTCCTTCCTTCCTTCCTTTTTCTTTCTTTCTTTCTTTCTTTCTTTCACCCTCTTTCACATGCAATTCATGCCTTTTGTAGGACAGCTGTTCTCATGGATCTGGGTTTCTCTACCTCCCAGATGTGAGATCTGTATTCCACTCGCTTGCTCCTAACCCTTTTGAAAATCTTTCCACAGATCATTGCTCCTCCTGAGCGCAAATATTCTGTTTGGATTGGAGGTTCCATTCTGGCCTCTCTCTCCACCTTCCAGCAGATGTGGATAAGCAAGCCAGAATATGAGGAAGCCGGCCCCTCCATAGTGCACCGGAAGTGCTTCTAAAGAACCAAACCAGATTATTCTCGGATCAGAAGAGTCCTTTCTTCTTTCTTTGCATTGAGTTCTGAATCTTGCAAGGAGCATTAAACACTGTTTTTCAAGCCAGGCAGTCTCTGGTCTTTTCTCTGTCCTTGTTATTTTAGCTGCTTTCAATAAATATCTTAGTGCTTTCTCATATACAGGCAGTCCTCAACCTACGACCACAATGAAGCCCAAAATTTCTGTTGTTGAGACATTTGTTAAGTGAATTTTGCCCCAATTTATGACCTTTCTTACCACAGTTGTTAAGGTTAACATACAGTTGTTAAATTAGTTACAGAGTTATTAAGCAAATTTAGTTTCCCCGTTGTCACTCCTTGTCAGAAGGTCGCAAAAGCTGCTCATGTGACCCTGGGGCACTGCAACTGTCATAAATATGAGTCAGTCATGATTTTGTGATAAAAGATTTATACCAACTTTTAGACAAAGCTATTTATGTCACTTTGAAAAGATTTCCAGCTTTCAGGAAAAAATATGTATGATTTCTCAATAGAAACAGGTACATAAATACAATCCAGTAGAAAAGTATCTATTCAGCAATCTCATACTGTATAACAGACATGTCAAACTCGCGACATCATGTGACGTAACGCAACATATCGGGCCGGTTTTGCCATTGCTGGGTGGGTGCGGCTTCCGTCAAATTGCAAAAGGAGACAGATAACCATCTATGCCGCGGGCCAGGGAAGGCGGAAAACCACATATTTTCAGCATCCTCTCCTCGTCTGAGGAGTTAGTCCAAAGAACGCCTGGGACTTGAAAGCAGACCCATTAAAATGAATGAAACAAACTCCTTTTTAGAGAGCAAATGTCCCTCTCCAGAAAAGAATCAAATTGGAAAAAGAGGCACGCGTTCACCTTGGCCCAGGCCCAGGGAAGGCGGAGAACCATGACTTTTCAGGATCCACTTCTTTGGACCCTTGTCTGCAGAATTAGTCGAAGGCATAGCTTGAACTTCAGAGCAGGCCCCTTGAAGTAAATGCCAGAGTGCCTTTCAGCCAGCAAGTGTCCAGCTTCAGATAGGTGTCGAAATGGAAATGTTCACTTGAATTTGCTTAATGTGGACAGGTGTTCTCTTGCTGCTTTCTTGCCAATTTTGACATGCATTCCTATTCTATGCAGTGCGCCGTTTGACTGGTTGGCCTGTTTTTTCTTCTAGCGTAAACACAGAGGCAAAGAATGAGTAAAGCAGTTCGATTTTCTCCTTGCTTTCCATCACCTGCTGCCTGCAATCCTCTCCCATTAGCGGACCGATCATTTTGTTTTTGTTTCGTATGTGTTGAAAGAAACATTTAAAATTATTTTTAGCCAAAGATATGATGAAACCAGCTATTTGAATTATATACCATTATTTGTTATTTTATTTATTTTAGCTTTATTTTTGTTATATAAAACTTGTTTTTCTTAATTCTGGTAACAGATGAACTGAGACTATCTCCTGCTCTGCCAACCAATCCCAGCCACGAGACTTCTTGGGAAGGTCTTGGAAAGCGACAGCAATTCACAGCCGTGATTTTGATGCCTCGACTTTTAGGGTTTCAAGCAGCAGCACCCATTGCTACAAGGACCTCTGTGTCAGGCAGGCAGGCAGGCTTTTGCCTGGCTTGTAGGTGGAGCCCTGGTAGTGCAGTGGTTACAATGCAGTATTGCAGGCTAACTCTGCCCATACCCAGGAGTTTGATCCTGACCGGCTCAAGGTTGATTCAATCTTCCATCCTTCCGAGGTGGTAAAAGAGGACCCAGATGCTTGGGGGCCATAGGCGGACTCTGTAAACCGCTTAGAGAGGGCTGTAAAGCACTGTGAAGCACTATATAAGTCTACCTTCTATTGCTGTTGTTATTGTATGTTCATAAGCCGGCAACAGATGCCAAACAGGCATCCAAGGAAAGAGATTCATCATAGCACAGCGGATCTGGGGGGTTCGGGGTGGGGAGATGGCAAGCCATGCCTCATCTAGTCTGGATGTAAGAGTGGAACAGAGGAGATGGTGAAAACATGATGGTCAGGAGATGTTCTGGGATTCCATCGACTTTATGGGCCCCCATTTGATCAACCAGAAGATCAAGGAACCAACTGAATCCCTGGGAATGTATCAGCCCAGCATGGAACAGCAGCGGAAGGGGAGGGCAGTCACCAAATCTGGGAATTTTGCTGGTCCCAAGTGAAATGTGGGGCACCACCTGTTCAGAAGAGCTCAGGATAGAAAATAGCATTTTTACCAGGAGCTGCAAGGGGATGGAATTGGACGTTATCCATGCCTGTACTCAGAAACGATGGATAGCATGTCCTGGAATAGGCTGAGTGTCTTTTGTGCACAAGCAAGCAATTTAGTTCTTTTTGATGGTCCCTTCCTGGCCACAGCAGAATGATCCAAAGGTGGGGTGGGGGGTGGACTAGTGTTGTGGCCTGTCGGCCGCCAGAGGACTCAGTGGCCAACTCAGAGGAGGAAGCACAGGATGGGTGCCGGCCCAAGCATCAGGGCCATCTGAGAGCCCCAACGAAGGCATGGAGCTGTCGCAGCCAGGGACAGAGGCCTGGGCCATCTGCCATCCCTCAGGTGGAAAGGCTGAGACCACCATGCCTTGAGGCAAGTGATTCAGGAGAGGAGGATCACATGGGGCCAGTGATTGAGAAGAGGAGAGGCTATGGGGCGGTCTTCGGGGCGGAAGAGTCACCGCTGCTAATGGAGCCCCACCTTCAGCTGTAGATAAAAGGCAGGAGAGGAGATGAATAGGTGTGGCAGACAACTATTGGTCTTCCTGCTGGTCAGCCAGCTGTATTTGGAACTCCTGACACTTCTAATTGGAATTTTGCTGAAGTTTTCCACAGATCTTGTGGTGCTGGGAGTTGGAGCGCCTTCTGAGCATGGGCGTGTCTTCTGTTGAAAAATAGCCAGCTTGCTTGAAGGACTTTTGGTTGCAAGCATGGTGAGACTGAGAGTAACTCTGGGTGTTGGGAGACTCCTACAGGGGAAAAGGGAGTGAGCTCTCCGTTATTTGGAGGCTGTGTGAAACTGCGGGAGTTCCTGAAATAAAAGGAACATTAGAGACTATTTGGCGCGTCTGTTGTGTTTGGGGAGCCGGGTCAGAACAACTGGCCATCATTTCAGATCCTGTTCATCAGAGGTGAGGTTGCGATAAATCTCATAGCTAGCTTCCTTTTTCATACCGCAGCTGGAATGGTTTCGTCAGAACAGCATGAAAAGAAGCCTGTCAGCATTGCGACAACAGAAAAAATTGTAGCCATTTTACTTTTACTTTTCAATGTAGTTTTCCATTCTATAGTTGGGGATTCTCACGTAGACAGGCTAAGGGGGGAGGGGAGTTTTGGGGCATTCTTAGCCATAACAATTACAGCTGTGGGTTATGTTCAAGGTCGATGTGAGTAAAGAATTTTGGGGGCAAGAGAGGGTGGGGGGAGCCCGTGTTTATTTGTAATTGGTGAATGTGATATGTGACAGTTTGGTTGGGGTGGGAATTACAACTTGTATCAGGGGAGGGAACTTTTAGTTTTGGGTTCAACTATGTAGGTGCCGATACTTTCTTTCCTGAATAAAATGTTCTTTGAGGAAGAAATTCTTGCCTTGAAGTTCTTTTAATTGGTTTCCTCTATCGGAGCCATGACATTCGGTGGCCAATGGGAGAGCTGAAGAGCTGGGGAAGCTAGAAGTGGGATTTCCTCGGGGTTACGGCCTGCCAGCTGAACCTGCCATGGAGAGGCCAGGCTACCCTCCATCATGCCAGGCAGCGAAAGAGGCCTCCCACCCTCGGGCATCTCATGTCCTACTCAAGGAGTGGGGGGCAGTGCCCCTCCCCCTTTTGGACATTGGCTTTTCTCGATCTGGCCCGGAGGCAGCCGTAGCCTCACTCTGGAGGGGCCTCGGGGGTCAAGCCAGGCGAGACCTTGGCGGAGCAGGGTGCAGTTCCCCCCCAGGAGCCTCTTTCAGCCACCAGCTGCTGGGTGAGCATTGGTGTCCCCACCTACCCCCCACTCTTAATTAGAGAACAAAGAATGAGGGACACACCATACAAATTGATTCAAATGTAATCAAGAGCATCTGGCATAAATTATTTATTAAATTATTAATAAAGGCATCAATATAAAACTTAATTTATCATCATATGTCTGGTATAAACTGGCAAATATTTATTAAATTATTAATAAATAGGTATTTTAAATATCCCCCCCCTTCAGTTTGTATTTGTGTACTCAGACTTTCCAGTCAAAGAAAAAATCCCTGCCGATAACGCGGAGGCTGGAGAGCCCTTTGGGCCGTCCTGGCATGCAGCATCTGTTGCTTTGCCACCTGCCGAGCAGAGCAGCCTCTGGTCACTGGCTGGAGAGGCTGTAATCCACAATGACCTTAGGGCCTCTGGGTTGGTTGGTAAAGGCAACGGCCTCCTCAGGCTGGATGGACGTGCAGATGAACCATCCTGGGAATTTAGCTGATTCGAACCTTGTGTGCTTTTCATTGTCAATTTTGTAGAAAAGGAAACGGCCCAGCTCGGATTTGTCGAGGTTCCCTTGGATGTTGGCTTCCTGCAGGAGAAAAAATCTGGGTAACTCTTGGAATGCAGTCTGGAAAGAGTGGATGATCTACATTTGGGCCTAAACTGAGGCTAGTGGGCTTGCTTTAGCCCCCCCCCCAAGACTTCTAGAATACAGAATAACAGTGTTGGAAGGGACGTTACAGGTCTTCTAGTCCAACCCCTGCTCAAGCAAAATAATGTCTGTTGTCTTTCAGTGCTGGATCCCTAAACCCACGTACGTTTTGTGTCCCCTTACAGAATGCAAAAGTCGGAAGCCATTTGGACTGACTTGATTTTTCAACCAAACTCTCTGGTTTAATGGCCTTCCCTGCACTATTCTAGCTACAACCTCACCTTCTGTTTGAGCCTCATTGAACCCCGTAGCCTCCTCACAGTCCCCCCCAAAGAGCCATCACTCCGAGATGGGTATGACTGTGAAGGCCCCGGGATGCTCTGGGTTTGGACGTTAGCCTTTCTGGTGCTCTCCGCCATTGCTGCACTGGCCGGGACCCTGGGCTGCATCTCCCTTCGGACTCATTGACAGCCCATTTGGGAAGGGGAGGGGGGCTCCAAGCACACACACTGATTAATCAGAGAAAGAGGGAAGAAGAGCTGGGAACGGGCACCATCCACCCTTGTCAGGTTGAGCCTGATTGGATTTGAGACCCATTTTAAGTCACTAGAAGACCTCCAAGGCCCCTCTCAACTCTGTTATTCTGCCCCGTGGTTGCACTTAAAAAAAAACGACAGGGAAGAGAGGGCAACTGACCTCCAGCTGCAGCACTGGCTGTCCCTCCTTCCCCACGCAGGAGAGATAGTGCTTCCTGTTCTGGATGCTCAATACCACAGGGACCCTTTGAGTTCCAGCCTCGATTTTTGGACGATACACAGACATTTTTAACTTCACTGAAAAATATGGGGAAATAAAATCAGTGGTGAAAATATCATTTTCTGTTTGGCTTAACACAGAGAAGATGGAAGTTGCCCCATAATTCGGCAAGGGAGGGGTAGCAACTGGGATTTACCTGCTTGCTCAAGGTTGGGACCCTGAAGATGCATGGCTACCAACTGTGCAGGTTCCTGGAAGACGAGGGACTTGTGGTCAGTATCTTGGATGTTACAGACAACATTCCTCCAGAAGTGATAGATGGAATTAGAGGCTTCTGTGTATCCATAGATGTCAAATGTGACCGGTTCTGAACAGAAAGAACATTCTCATTTGACTTATTCAGCCCCACTTAAGACAACTGTTGATGTTGCCACCATTGAATTACCCACAATGCATTTTGGAGATTCTGCCCCCCTCCAACAGCTGAGACTTCCAGCCTAAAACTGGTAGTAGGGCAATGGAGAGGACAGTTTGGAAAAAGCTCCTAATTCGCTCTCATAAAATTATTTCTCCACAAGATAGATAATTTTGCTAAGCCTCTAGATTAGAAGATTGTTGAAACAAATCCCTAAACATTTAGCTGTCAGAGATTTTTTCCTAACACTCACTTGTTTTGCAAGTTGAAGCTATGTGGTCCAGGGTAACTTCCATTAAGTCATTGGAACAATCCTGGATAACTATCTACCAGACTGTATTTTCTATGGCTTGCTGCTCTTTGGTGTACGAGCACAGGATGAAGGCAGTGTGAGCTTCTGGGCTTCAAATTTGGTTCTCATAGTTTGTACTACTGCTTGTTTGGTCTGAGAAATAACACTCTGCTGGAAGGGATTTCTTACAGTCACAAAACATAAAGTGGGCATTTGGTGCTGCAAACTCTACCTAAGACTGTGCTTAGAATGTCCATTAGGTCCTCATCGGAGAAGAGCCTGGGAGAATTCCTCATGCTCTCGGTCGCAATGACAATCAACACAGCCTTCCTGAAGCTCTTCAAGGGCTCTTTCTTGGTCACTGCTACCTGCACATCGATCTCACTGGCTTGGAAGGCATTCTGTGGCAAAAGAGAAAAGAGTTGAAGATGTTTATAAGAGTTTGCTCCCTTAAAGGGTGCACATCATGAAGGAACAGGAGCAAAGTTCTTTCCCACCCAAGTTCCTTCAAACCTGCATCCCGGGAAGATAAAATACAGTTATCGTTTTTATAAACTTGGTGATCTATATCTTACACACACACACTTCAGAAACATTAAGGTATCTGTTCACAGACAGTAAATACGGTGGTAGATTAAAAAAAAGAAAGATCATTACTGCAAGTCCTTCAGCTGAAGCCTGGCAACCCAAATTCAGCGTGCTGCAGATTCACGCTTTCAGAGGTCCTGATTGTGATAGATTGTGGCTTTCAGCAATAAGACAGGATGGCTGAAGTGGCCACAAGAAATAGGATGCCATTAGTGGGTTCCATATTGTAGGACATAGAATCCTAGGGCTGGAAGGAACCCCAGAGATCCTCTAGTCCAAACCCCTGCAAAACACCTTATTCCATCCCAGACAAAGGGCCGTCCAGCTTCTTCTTGAAAGCCTCCAGTGATGGAGCACCCACAACTTCTGGAAGCAAGCCGTTCTACTATTGTTCCCATTATCAGAAAATTCCTCCTTATTTCTAGATTGGATCTCTTATCACAATTTTTTGTGGCAAATTATCATGATTTCAGTGATGGGGGATTTTGATAATGTTTGGAATGTGAAAAGTAACCAATCAAGTTCCTGAGATGCTGAGTTCAGTCCTGCCCTGGGCACTTTCCTCTTCCCATTCTTCAGGAACAGGGAGAGGCTGAAAAGGTCTGGCAGGTCCAACAGGTTAAAAAGCTTCAGTTGAGCTCCAGATACTTGCTGGCGCACCAGAGGGCTTGGAAATGCCCACGTTTGCAGTGCCAGCCAAATGCTGATGAGGGAACTGCCAAATCTCCGTGCCTGATCAGAGGAGTCACGTTCCAGAAGAAGGTGGTTGAGCCTCTTACCTTTGTCCGGTAGGGCTGGTTCGCTGCACAGAACTGCATCCTGCTCAAACTGTAAAGCACAGGAAAGAAAAGTGAGTCAGATCTTTTTCCTTATTTGTGACAATAAACTTGTCACTGTTGTTTAGAGCAGAGGGACTCCTGGAGTTACACACACATTTATTAAAGTGTGTCTTTCATTTGATTTTTTGGAAAATGCCTATGAGGAGACTTTTGCTTTATGTTCTAATCTAGAGCAAACATGAACATGCAGACACCGAGGCAGAACCATTCAGGGTAAACTTTGTACCTGCACAAAAAGACGGGCAGACTCCTCGTTCCTGATCCTCCTCTCCGCTGCAGACTGGCCTCTGCTCTCCCTGGGCAGCCCTTATATAGGCTGGGGCAGCTGAGGAAGCAGAAACTGCGTTCACGCCAGAACTTCCCTTCAGCAGCTGTGGATTTCCTTCTAAGAACAGGATGCGGTTGCGGATTGTGAAAATGGAGAATTCCTTAAAAACAATACATGCTTGCACAAAAATTAGACATCTGGGAAATTATTGAAAGTGATGATGCGTGTCTGGGTATAGGTGTGAAACTGCTCGTGAATGATGGCTTAATTGCCAGGGGAGGGACTCCTTGCCCAGGTCTGGCCAATTCAGCATGGTCAAGAGCTCAGGGGCTCCCAAGATGAAAGGGACTAGTGGCTCTGGATCCACTGCTCCTCCAGGAATCTAGTTATCCCCTACAAAAACATTCAAGGTATTGGTTATCACTATGTTTGTTTGTTTATTAAATTGACATGTCATCCATCTCCCTGTTAGGTGACTCTGGGCAGCTTACAAAGAATAAAAAAAGAAATATATATATATACAAAATAAATTAAAAAAACATGTAAAAACTAGGACCAAGGATGGCATGGGGACAAGAGCGTCTTACCCCGTCAAGCACCTCTAGCAGTCAGTGTCCCCCTTGGAGTTCCATCTGGCCAGACCAGGTTTTGATAGCTTTCCAGAAGGCTTAGAGGGTGGGAGCGGTTCTCCCCTCCAGTGGTGGAGTCTTCCACGGGTCTGGGGCCACAGTGGGAAAGGCTCTGCTCCTGGACGCTGCTGGAATGCCTTGGATGGTGGCATCCTTAGCAGGCCCCTTCTGCTGGAGTGAGTGGGTGGGCTAGTCCCATTGTGGTGAGATGGCTCTTCAGATCCCCTGGACCCCTGCCACATTTTGGGATAATGGAGGCAGGACGATCAATCTGCGGCCCTTTGACTTTCCCTCCTTTCCCTCTGGGAACCGGCATGGGGCATTTTCACAGACGCTCTGCGCTCCAGCCCAGCCTCTTCCCTAGGATGGCAGATATGATTCCTGGGTTAGTTAAAGACGGCATAGGCCTCATTATTGCAGCATTGTATAAATTAGCTTTCCCCCCCCTAATTTTACTTATTTACTTATTAGGTTTATTTGATGCCCATCTCGCTTTGATATATATTGTTTCACACAAAACTAAACTCTGTTTACTATTTATTTACCATTCACCAGTTCCAAGCAATCTTTTAAACACTCTTCACAATCCCCTTTTTAAAAAACTATCCTAAAAAGTTTAGTATCATCCCCAAATGTAGGCAGCTTATTGCTTACCCTAAATCAAGACCCTTCAGGAACAGCCCCCGAATCCCCAGGGCAGGCTGAAGGCTGGAGGGAAGGCTCCTCTGGCTTCTGTCCAGTGAGAAACTAATGTCTGTTCTTTACTCCCTAACTGTAGCCAATCCATAAGGAGGAGGCTTATTCCTCCGTAACTGCCCAGTTCACTCAGGAACCTTTGATGCCCCCATCTCTTGGGACCCGGAAGGCGCCTCCTCTCTGGCAGCCCCTGCCTCTGGCGGGAGGCTTCCCGAGGTCAGGGCCACTTCCCCAGCCCTCGAGCGAGGGAAGTGAAGCCCCCTTGGATTCTTTTTCATTCCAGCCTGGTTTCTGTCCTCTTATTTTTTACTCCTTATTTTTGTTTCCAACTGTATGTTTTATGATTTTTTTTCCTTGTGAGCTACCAAGACTCATTGGGAGTCAGGCAGCATATAAATGTCATAATAGGTAAGTAATGAAATCATCTGAATTTGAATTCTTTTGAGTATTAACTCTGTTTACTGCGTAGTGGCTCCAGATGCCCTAACATGCTATTACACCTGCTTTAGTTGCTCTGGTTTCTTCTCTGAGAAAGCCAGTGCAGCCTCCAGGGGGCGTCCAGCAGCTTCTGCCCATGTACAGACTCAATGTGTCATTCAACAGCTGGCTGGTCCTCTGCAGGGTTTTTTCTGCTTTGACAATTTAGAAAAGGTTTTATTGTTTCCGTTCATGTTTTTTGCCAGAAGCTCCTGATTATTATTTTTTTTCACCTGGCTCTTTTTTGACCAGAGGTGGAGCTCCTGTAAGGACCTGCCCCATTTAGACCTTCCAAGAAAGCTTGCATTGTTTCAACAGGAACTTTTGAACAGAGCCAATTGTTGTGAGAAAGAACCGATAAGGCCCCACTCTCAAGGCTGTCAGGTCTCTCCGCGGCGGCTTCATCCCTCTGCCTGGAGATAAGACAGATGGCCGGAGGCAGGTTCCATTCTCAGCCCAAGTAAGAGATACCTCAAAGAGGAAGGAATAAAGCAAAGGAAGTACACCGCAGAAGGCCCATCAGTCCCCCCCCCCCATTAGAATGGCAGAACCTGAAAGTGAAGAGAATGAAGAATAGGGAAGGGAAGAAATGGGGGTTCTGACCCCTCCTTTTGGCCCTCCTCTCATTTCTTTTCATCTTCATAGCATTCTGGAGTGCTTGCAGAATGAATTTCAATCTCAGTTGCCCACAGAAATTTGACAAAGCCAAATCACGTCTGCAATTCAGTTTAAAATGTATGTGAAGCTGCTGGAGAAACTATGAGGAAACCCTCAGTAGATGGATGGATTGCACACTTCACACTTCTGAATCACGAGCAACGTTTTAAGTCTTAAGATAATATCTGGATTGGGAGTTGTATGGGGAGTGAATCCTGGTGAAGTGGATTCCCCACTCAAGGCAATTATTACTTAACCTGTCCTGCAGAGAGTTGCACCCATAAAGGACAGGTGTGTCACATGGTACAGCAAGAAGGACCACTGCGGTTGGTCTGCTCACGGTGGCTCTTCTGAGCTGAGCTCAGGGCTCTTGGCTTTGCTGCCTTCCCTCTTCCATTGCTGGAGATGGCCTGTTGCAGGTGCTCAGTTGCAGGTCTGGAGGCTGCAGCCAGTGAACCATTCCCTGGCCCTGGGCCATGTGGCATTAGCCACATCACTGCTGAAAGAACCGCTCTGACTGCTAAAGTGCTGCTGGCATCAGTGAAGGCCACTGTATCATTCCGTAGCACCTCACCATGTTGGGATCAAGCTGCCTAAGATGGCCTTAACTCTGCTAGACTTGCAATCCTAGGCAGAGGCTGCCTTGGGTGAACCTCATACAGCAGAATTTAGCTTTGCATGAATCAGGAGGAAGTTTTTTTCTGTCCTGACCCCATTCCTGGAATTCCTCACAGGAATTGATTACAATACTCCTAGATTACTTGTCAGATAGCAGCATCCACTGTGGTGTTGAAAGAAAAGTCTTCATCAGGGTCCAGTCCAAGCCGGGTATAATCAAAATGGAGACTGCTTTAGAAAGAAGGTTGTAGTTTATTGAAGAGCAGAGCCAGACAGAAATGTGGCTCTGGGAAAGCTGACCACATGTAGCTGGGAGTGGTGGGTTTTTATACCTTCTTGGGCTTTTGTGTTTGGAGTTGTTTCCTGTTCCTGTGACATGAACTTTGACCTGAGCTTTTGAGCGTGTCCTTTTTGGTATTCTAATGGTGGTGGATTAATCCTATTATGTCCCAAAGGTCATGTCCTGCTTCCCTGGGGCTGTGGCCGATGGCTATGTCCTGTGTTGGATGGGTGAAGGGTTGTTGGTTCTAGGGGTCTTTGTCTTTCTAATCCCATTAGCTCTAAGGTTCCTGGCTCCAGTCTTTCTGAAAGGATTATCAGATCTGCATTTCTACAGACTGGTTTCTGGTTTCTGCTTGGGGCAGAGAGACTTGGGGGGGGGGGTTCTGCCTAAGATTTTCTATTATTCCTTTGGGGAAATATATTCTGCTTTTTTAATATTCCCCAAAATATTTCCTTCTCTAGGAGGGTGGGTGGGTGCTGACTTCCAACAGTGGACTGCTATTAGAAATACTGGTGAGACAGTAGTTGGATTCATTGGCCAAGACAGAATGATAGAACACAAAGTCAAATCATTGTTCCAGATTATAATTTTTTGTAGTTAACCCATCTATCCTATAAAAAGAGTAATTCGATTATGGTGAAATTACACTACCAAGGCTCCGCAGACTGAGGCTTTGTCTACAAAATAAAATTTCTGTGTGGGAGTCAACAGTAAAACATGGCCCAGAGCCCCTTTTTCAGGGAAATGGGACGTTCAGTAATGTGAAAAATAAACAAGCAAACAAACAATGAAAGTATTTTTAAAGGCTAATATATGCACCATCATTCTTTTTTGCTTCATGTTTATTTTCATTTGAGAAAAAATCTGAAATATAAATGTAAAAGTATATTTATGCAAGTACCAAATGGAGGGGACAGCCCTCGACGCCCTTTGGAGCCCCTCCTTGCTGGTGCTCCGGCCTGGGAGACTTTCACTGCTGATTCACCAGCTGCCCTCCTGTCCTGGGATTCTCTGGGTCAAAGGTCTCGGTCTCAGGAGCTGAGCTTGGGGGCTGAAGCTGCCGCAGAGTCAACGGGGTTGGCATTCGTCCTTGGGCATTCCCAGTCTGAGTCTTGTAGTGGCGTCACTCACTTGTGGTTCTCACAGGAAGAGGATCTCTCTGCACTGAGTCATTGTTGTTGCCAGTCACTGGGGCTGGCTTCCTTCCTAGGTGGTAGCAGAGGCTCCAAGTCCTGTTTCACTTCTAATCCAGAAAAGGCCTCAGGTGTCAGCCCCAGCCTTTTTCAACGCTCTTCTAAGTACACCTAGCTTGTCAGTCTAAGGGAAGGACCCCTTCTCTCTCTCTCCCTCCCTCTCCCCCCCTCTCTCTCCTTCTCTCTCTCCCCCTCTTCCTTCTCATGCGTCTGCATGACGTGAGTGAAAGAGGAAGAGAAAGTGTTCATGTGAGAGATTGCACACTTTTTGCTATGAACTACTGCCCTATGAATAATAGCTATTGCCTCTTAGCATTGCCTTTCACCATTACATTTCCCAACATAATAACCAGAGTTTAGAAATGTTTTAGTAGAATGGACCAGGCATTTCATCCTCTCTCAAAACCAAGGGCAGGCAGAAAGATCAACCAAACTTC